CTGCTTCTTAGCTTGTATTGGAACTGAAAGACAAAAAAAATTATAAACTAGTACTGAAGTTATTATGATAAACCATTTAGATGATAATTTAAAACAAAAGAAATTTATTAAATTTGTCCAACTAACTACAACATAAATGCATACATTAACATAACCAATCTACACAAGCTCATCTGGTCAAAACCATTAACTGCTGTTGGCAAGAGAAATCTGCTGTACAAGTCACCAATTAGGCTGCAGGGATCTCCTTCAGCATGATGATCATGGCTTCTTCTGCCTGCAGTTGGACAAGTACCTGTAAAAATAACCATGTGTCATTAAAATATTATAAGTACAACAGTATAGTATGGTAAATAATACAAAATTACTAATGTCCACTACAGACAACTTCGCACAAAATAAAATGAATCGTAAGAAAATATTGCTGGTCCAATGAAATGTGAGTAAAATTATGCAGCATTCAAGACCCATTAAATATAAAAATTCATCTCACCTGCATCATCTTTCTGAAATTTGAGTAAAATTATGCAGTCTTCAAGACTTATAAAATATAAAAATTCATCTCACCTGATCATAAATAGCAGTTAATTTGATTTGTTGGTGACCGCAAAAAGTCATAAATGGCATCAACCTACTTCACAGAGTAAGTTGTGCAATGTCCTTCCAACACAGCAGTTGTCTGCCCATCATGTGGTTTCTTATTTGGTTTGGAATTTGTATATTTGTCTTCATAAAAAAAGTGCATAAAGTGGTCCCAGTTTTCAAACAATCTTTTTAGGCATCTTGCAATACTAAGCCATCTGGTGCATGCATGCTTGATACTTTTCATCTGTTCTGCACCATACAGGACTTGCAGGTTTTTCAATTCACACTGTCTCTTCAAACTTTTCTTGAAGAAGTAACAAACGTCAACCAGGACCTCCTCAACTGGGGGTAGACAGGAAGCCCCACTTTTTAGCTGCAAGATGCACCAGATGGAGGCAGCGTCATGCCAGATAAATGTCTTGCTCTCCTTTAATAAAACTGTATACTCCATTGTATTGGCCAGTCATCACATTGACATTGTCACAGCCAAATGCAATGCAGTTTACCCATGAAATGCCCTGTGAATTCAATTCATCTGCCATGATCTTAAATATATATTCTGTCCTGTGGCCGAGGATGCTTTGTACACCGGCAAAGCTGGGAGATGAGAATTTACAAGGCCACCCTATCCTTCAATGGTGAGCTCTGGAGAGTACTGCTTTTTGTCTGAGTCTTTACTACCATCAGTAGCAATACTGAATGGCAATCTCGGCATCCTAATGGCTAATTTCTTCATAGTCATTGTAGACATTTCTAAAATCATAGCTGTTGCTATATCTCTGCCACATTTTATATCTGATATGAATAAAAGAAAATTAAATAATAAAGATATTAATGAAAATATCTGGTATGACAAGAAACAAAATAATTATTCCTATGGCACAAATCATCTTTAAAGCTGCACTCAGAAATTTGCTCTTTTTATTTTATTAAAACATAGCTTCTACACAAGCTACTTTATTTTGGAAAAGTGATTTTGAATTTAATATTTGACAAAAAGATGTCAAGGATGTACTTTTTACTCAGTGCTTCTTTAAAGAACTTACAGGCTTTGATTTCAAAATGTTTTTTGCAATCGTTTTGACACTCAATAACTACAGCAAGTCGTTGAGGGGATATATTGTTTAAGGGATAGAGCTGTTTTGTGGGTTCTAAAAATATATTTCAATATTTCAAATGCGACTAACTAGATATTAAAAAATATGTCCAAATCCAACTTCCCAGTGCAGAACAGTTGGATAATGTATTTTATTTTAAAAACCTTCTCTAGTTTTCTCCGTTTTCACAATTGCGGTTCTGGCGAACAAAATAATTATGTAACAAAACTACATCACACGCCTGGTAGCAGAAAAAGGGGATGGTCGAGTGAAGTTATTGCGAGGGCAACTAGACTAAATATTACTGTTGACGCATCTAGGTAGTTCATTGTGATGCACAAAGCAACAATATGACAATCATTACCATCAATATGATAGGTTGAGGTGAAATTTTTATGGCATTTGAATTTTTATTGCCTTTGACACATCCACCTTTCCCCCTATCCAAGCGTTGGTAAATGGTCATTGTGGATGCCACTATTTTCTCAATGGCCGCCATCTTGGTTGACAACACGTGAAGTCGCGTGAAGTGTCAACCAAGATGGCAGCTCAAAAAGTAGTGCAAAACACTTGTTATTAAAAACCCTAACCCTATATCTATCCCGAGCAAAATCTTTTTAAAAATCGATGAAACTTCAATAATTTTTTTACTCACTCCTTATGCATCAGTATCTTGTATTTGGGGAGGATACACAATTTTTATAGCATTTAAAATTTCTCTCATTTAAACTCTATGACCACATAAGTGTCGCCACATATATTCAAATAAATATGAGTTTAACTGCTCCTCCCCAGGACAGGTTCTTGTGGGCAGAGATAGTTTAATTGCACTCCAGGTGCCCTCTATGGTGTTAGTGTGTGCGCCTGTTTTAGAGTGTTTGAACTCAATTGTATGGTTCACCCTTAGGTGGTGAAACCCTACAGTTGTAAGACCTACAACAATCAGAAATTATTGTGGTTCCTGGCTGCACTAATTCTTTAATTATTGCCAGAAGGACGTCTTTACCATAGTTCTCAACAACCCTGAAAAAAATTTTGTTTGATCCTCTTTCAATCCCACCAACACCTATTTTCCTTCTACGCGTTTGCCTCTATGATACTTCTTTCGCAATATGTCCCAAAGGCATTTTTCTTAAACAAAAATGTGTCAATAACATCATAATGTCACACATCAATCTACTGTCACTAAAACACGACCCCTTCCTTAAACTATGCACAATATTGCCATGACTTTTGTCACCACATTGCCATGCAAACTCATCTGAAGCATTTGCCCATGCACACAAGTTCATACCCTTCTTACAATGGGGACATTCGTATCTATCTGCAATGAGACCGGTACTCATGAGC